CAATCATCCATCTCTTCCAAGGGTGAGAAACTAAAATAGACCTCTTTTTGGTGCCGCTCACAAATGGGCCCTGCTGAGAGGCTCCTTAAATGGAAGCGAGTGGGGCGGCCGCCTGGCCGGACTCCGGGACACGTGGTGGGGTAGAGTGGAGAATCAATTCTCAAGAGAGGATGAGCGGCAGACCCCAGCTCTATGAAAATGCATAGTTCTACGTGTTAAAAGCATCTTTGTGGGACATGCTCAGGGAGAGAGACTGCAGGGAAGCAAGGCAGAGGCCAAGCGCGTGGCCATGCTAGCACTGAGCGCCAGCACTCAAAGGGTGAAGCTTTTAGGCGAGCAGCAGCCAGTGATCTCAGCTTCCCCCAGTCCTAATGCTCCTGAAAGGCTCTCTCCTGCTCCCTGTAATTGGGCATCAGTAGTTAATGCAGTATTGACTGCATTACACGCTCCTGTGCCTCCCTCGCTAATGCCAATTGCATCACCTTGTACAGTCACCGGCTTGCTTAGCCAATAGCCGTTAAAAGCAATCCAAATCATGAATCATATGGGAAACTTTTAGCAAGACACCGCCATCCAAGGAGACAATTTACAGTTGAGTTAATCTGGGTACATTAGCAAGACATGGATTCTGGACGACAGACCAATTGATGTTGCTTCCCCATCCCCCGCCTAGTGCTCGGTGTGGGCAAATGTATGGAAGAGTGGGGAACAGAGGTGGGCACCTGCTTCTTTACCCAGGGCTCTGGGAGGGGCTGGGGGGGACCCGGCTCTGCATTCTCTCTGCCTGGGTGAGTTTGGGTAGGCAGGAGGGGAGGAGGCTATGCATGCTCCTGGAGATTTGTGATGCCTCATTCGCAACCCTGCGGGCTTTGTTGCAGAAGGGGGCCGGGTGGGTGCACTAGGGACCAAACCAGGATGGAGGCTGCCCTTCCAGGCACCAGGTGGTGGGTGCTAAGCCTGGTCTCCCTCTGCCAGCCTCCCAGGGACACACTCAGTGGGATGGGCCAAGCTTCAGGACCAGGGAGGTCCCTGCTATATTCCCCCAGATGTGCCATTCAAGAGGCCCTGTGGTCCAGAGCAGGAGGACATATCCTATAAGCCCCACTGGTAAGCAAGTAAGGGCTAGTCAGTGCCAGAGCATAGCCCAAGAAATGCCTGCCCTCGCAGACCCACTGGTCAGCTGGGGCAGCACGCTCAGAGCAGTCATTAACAATTGAAGACTCCGCTGTCTGGTCTCCTTGGTCCAGCTCCACTCTCCTTAGGTATCTTCCCTTATTAAAAATACTCGAGGAATCATGTCTGGCATTCAGTTCCTATGGACACGCCAGCCTTCCTGCTGGACCTCTGCAGAGGTAGCTCACCTCAGAACCTCCCCTTCTCTGGCATCAGCAGCCTTAACTCAGCACCCTTGCCCACCTGGTCCCCATAGCCCAAGGCCCTTCCCTGTCTGAGGGGTGCCAGTGCTGTCTGCTCTTCTTCGTGGGCCTCTTCAAACACAGCTGAGTGCACAAATGGCCTTTTGGGGTTCAGGGTAGAAGCTCCCTCCCTTCCCTGGAAAATACATGGGTCACCCAAGCCAGGGAAGGGGGGCTGTTCCTGCGGAAAGTTGGAGCGGGACTCTGTTTCACTGACAGGCAGGCTCGACCACGTTCACAAATCCCAGACCCGGAGTTCCAGTAAAGTGCAGATGGCTAGGCCAAGAGCAAGCATCCAAATGAAAGCAATTAATCTTAAAACCCAAAGTTTAACCATTCGCGAAACAGATCTTGCCATCTCTGTGGTGACCCTTCACGGCTCAACCTAATGGATTACTTTATTAATAATGCACTGTGCTTAAAAGCAAAAAAAAAAATTTTTTTTCCCTGACGATTCAATACTTCACAAAGTCTCTTAAACCCGTTGCTACGGCAAAGCGATTGATATTTTATTATCTTTCAGAAGTTCAACATGAAAGCCCTGTGGTCCACCAGAGCAGAAGCTTTGGTCCTCGGCAGCTGGCCGACCCGACTTCAACCAGAGGCCCCAGCCCTTCCGACAAGATGTGGTCAGGTGGGGGGAAGGCGGTGGGGTGATTAATGGGAGCCCCGAGTCCCGGCTGCCTCGAGACAAAGGGCACTAGGCTACAGCCCTGAGAAACGCAGCCCTTGACAGTGCTGGGGGCGCGGGCTGCCCAGGCCTGGCGACCACCTGCTGAAAGGACAGGAGTGCTCAGGGAGAAGTTGGGGCAGAGGGTTGGAAGGAGCTAGTGAGTGGCCCCTCTCTCCCGAGGTTGAAGGTACCACCTTCAAAGCTCTCAGCAGCCCTGCTCTAATGGGGAGTGAGAGGTGAATTTACGGCAGTTGAAGGGCAGCTCCAGACGGGGCAGGACAAGACTCTGATGGCTGCTCAGTGTCCCAGCCACCTGTCTCGGATTGCTATGGGGCCCGGAGCTCAGTGGCATTGACAGAGTGGGCACCCTAGTATTTAGATCGGATGGAGAACAGAGAAAACAAATATGATCAGCCAGGGTGACAGGTGCACTACAGCCTGGAGGCAGGAGACTGGCTGACATGGCCCTCAGAAACCCATTTCCTCTGAGGGTTTGTCTGAAATCTCAGACTGTACAGAGAGCTAGGTCCAGGGACTGGGGCAGAGCTCACGGTGACCACATGATATGAAAGGGCCGGGGTCTTCTAGACTCTGACCTTCCCTGGGGCACAGTGAGGCCCTGCCATGGTGAGTCCATGCCACCCTGGGGCCTCCCTGCAGGAGAGCTGCCAGTCTCTGGCGGGACACTTCCCTCCCCTGGGCCAAATTCCTGCCTCCTCTCAGGAAGGCAGGGAGAAAGTGGGCCAGTGGGGAGTGAGCCTGTGGCATGCTTCTCAGAATGGCACACCTCCAGGTGCCTAGGCAGGACTCTGAGCCAGCCTCACAGGTGAAGTGAAATTCTGATGTGGCATGACTGGTCCAGGACAACGCTGGGCATTGGTGACAGGAAGGGGCAGAAGGCAGACCTCCCCCATCCCTGTCTGACCTGACCCCATACTCCTTTTACTCTTTTGCACTTGAGAAAATGACACCAGTCTAACCCTTTCAGAGCCCACCTCCACTGCCGGAGCGGGGAGCCAGCCCCGGGCTCCAGGGGAAGGGTCCATGAACAGAGAAGCGCATGCTAAAGATAATTGTCACACCCCGGCCAGATTGCAGCAGACAAATGGCCTCTTTGGGCATCCAGTTCCCTCTCTTCTTTCATGCTGACAAATGGGGACCAGCCACAGGGCTCCCCCACATTTCACCTCTAGACCAGACACTTGAAGAGATCCCTCCCTGCTGGTGTCTCTGACTGGCTTGGGATGCCAGGGACCCCAGCATGTGATGGCAGCAAAGCGAACATCTGACGTGACCTTGAGCAAGTCACAACTTCCAGTTCTCACCAAGTGCCTGGATTCCAGGCACCAAGGACCCTACAAGCAGAGAGCACAGACCCAGCAGGGGCTCGAGAGTCAAAGGTCAGAGGTCTGAGGGGACTCATGTCAAGCCACCCTTTCAGTTCTCTGCCAGGGGCAGGAAGCAGGCAGCAGCGTGGGTGCTGACAACTATTCACAGAATTCCCCCAAATACCAAAGACAGCCTCCACAAACCACACAAGCCATGTGTACAGGGCAGGAGGGGTGGGGGCAGCTGGGGAACCCACGTTCTGTGTCTAGGCCGAATGGCAACGGTTGCTTTTAGCCCTCAACAGAGTTGGCATGCCCTCTCTCTCCAGGGCTTTCCAGAACATTCACGGCAGGGCCCTTCACTCCAGGAAGACTTTGGAGGTCTGTGGGACCACCTGCTGGTGAGTTCCTGCAGTCGTGGGCCCTTCAGTTTTGACCTATCCCCCCGCGGTCCCCTGGGGCGAACGGAGACCCTTGGCCACGCGGAGTCCATGCCACCCTGGGGCCTCCCTGCAGGAGAGCAGCGGGTCGTTGGCGGGACGCTTCCCTCCTCTGGGCCAAACTCCCGCCCCTTTTCAGCAAGCCAGGGGGGCGGCGGACCAGGAGGATCTCTCGCCCTCTGGACTCCCGAGCTGGCCCCATGGGGCTGGCCCTGCCTCCTAGGCACCCCAGGGCGAGCGCTGTCCTCCGCGCGCCCGCGCGCCCCAAGCTCCGGAGTCCCG